CCCCCCCCCCCCCCCCCCCGCGCCGCATCTCTCCCCCGGCCTTTCCACCCTCGACTTCCGCGCGCCCGGCTCCTGTCTCCGCGGACCTTCCCGATCCCTCCTCCCCCGTCATCGCTTGCTTTGACCCTCCCGCCGGCTGCCCATTACCCTGCGGTCTTGCGGCGCGTCTGGGGCACATTTCCGTCCCGCCCCCCCGACCCGTCCACTGCCCTTGGGGGCTGCTAACTTGGCGCGCGTGCACCTCCTCCATGCATGCCTGATCCTCGCCATTCTCCCGTCTTCCTCGTCGCGTCCGGTGCCCATCCCACTTCTGCACCTCCGGCCTCTCTCTCGCCCCCCGATGCCCCCTCGGTTCTCCCCGCAGCCTAGCAGCGCCGTCCGGCCTCCTGCGCGCCCCATGCCGCCCCTCCTGCTCCTCGGGACCCTCCTGCTCCTGGCCTCGACCGCCCGCCAGGCCGGGGCGCGCCCGTCCAACGGCACAGGCGCCGAGCCCCCGGGCCCGCTGCCCGCGCTGCTGGCGCACCTGCGGCGCCTGACCGGGGCGCTGACGGGCGGCGGGGGCGCCGCGGGCCCGGGCGCCAACGGCTCCAGGACCGGCTCCGCGAGCGGCCCCGGCGCGGCGGCGCGGGCGCCCCCTCCGGCCGAGCTCTGCCACGGCTACTACGACGTCATGGGCCAGTACGACGCCACCTTCAACTGCAGCACCGGCTCCTACCGCTTCTGCTGCGGCACCTGCCACTACCGCTTCTGCTGCGAGCACCGCCACATGCGCCTGGCACAGGCGTCCTGCTCCAACTACGACACGCCGCGCTGGGCCACCACGCCGCCGCCGCTGGCCGGGGGCGTCGGGGGTGCCGGGGGTGCGGGCGGGGGGCCCGGGCCCGGCCAGGCCGGGTGGCTGGAAGGGGGCCGGGCGGGGGGCGCAGGGGCACGCGGGGGTGAGGGCCCCGGGGGCAGCACGGCCTACGTGGTGTGCGGGGTCATCAGCTTCGCCCTGGCCGTGGGCGTCGGCGCCAAAGTGGCCTTCAGCAAGGCGTCCCGTGCGCCCAGGGCGCACCGGGAGATCAACGTGCCCAGGTGCGTGAGCGCTGGGGCCCTAGGGCCGGGCTCCTGGGGGCGGGACCTGGGCCGTCAGGGGTGGAGCCACCTGGCGAGGGCAGGGCACAGGGACCCGAGCTGGCTCGGAGACGCAGGAGGCAGCCTCTGCGAGCGCAGGAGCGGATGCCTAGGGAGACGCACGGGTCCTTAAGAATAGGGGCGGCAGACCTGGCCTGGCTGCTGGGTGACGGGCCAGGCTCGGGCGGTCATTCATCCAACAAACTATTGTTTGAGCACCGCCTGTGGGTCAGGAGCTGGGCACACAGCAGTGAACAAAACGAGGTCCCTGCCCTGCCGGGTAAACCTGGCTTCCAATCCCAGGTCCCCCTGTAATGAGGATTAACGGAATTGATTCACGTCGAGTCTGGGCACAGGGTGAACCCTCCATAAATGTTGGCTGCCATTATCATTAAATGTCAGTGGTGGGGAGAATCCGCAAGGCCAACAGGTGTCTGTGGGAAGGGTATTCCAGGCAGAGGGAACAGCACGTACAAATGTCCTGATAGGAGAACTTGCGGGCAGCGAGGGGGCCTCAGAGGCTGCAGAGCCCTTGGCGGAGGGCAGGTTTCTTCTGAGAATGAGAGGAGAGAGCGGAGCTCGGGCACGAAGCCGTTCGGTGGTTTCAGGGGAGTCTCTGGGCTGCGTGCTGTCAGGGGACCAGGCTGGAAGCGGGGGACCGCTGAGGACACTAGCAATGAGCCAGGTGAAAGGAGGCACTGGGGGCCGCACAGGTGGAGAGAAGAGCTGCGCTGCGGATTTATGTTGGAGGTTCAGCCAGGATGGCTGACGGGCTCGAAAAGAAAGAAAAACAGGAGTCAGGGGTGATTCTCAGGTTTCCGGTCCGCGTAACTGGACGAAAGGGGCACACTTTACTGCCCCGGGAAGGCTGTGAAAGTAGCGGGAGTGAGGTCCCAGGTTCGGGGGGGCGGGGCCCAGGGAGGACGCTGTGCAAAGGACCACGGAAGGGGGTGGGTCCCAATGAATGGGGAGGGGGCGCTTCAAGCAAGAAATGTGGTCGGAAGAACCTTGGGGAAGGCGGTGCTCAGAGGGATACTAGTGATGGGCGTGGCCAAAGGCGAGGCGCCCCGCCGAGCGGGCCGACCCCCCAAAGGGGAGAGCAGGGAGGGAAAAGACTCCTCTCCCTGCCCCCACCCGCGTCCCCAGGCCGCTGACCGGCTCTCTGCCACCTCTAGGGCTCTGGTGGACATTCTGAGGCATCAGGCTGGGCCTGGGACCCGCCCGGACAGAGCACGAAGCAGCTCCTTGACCCCGGGGGTCGGGGGGCCCGACAGCATGCCCCCGAGGACGCCCAAGACCCTCTACAACACCGTGAAGCCCTCCAATCTCGGTGAGTGAGACCTGCGCTCTGACCACGCCCATCAGCCCCTAGCCCCGCCCCATAGCCCCGCCCCCCCGTGGCCCAGGCCCCGCCCCCGCCCCCCCTCCGGCCTCTTCCTTCTCTGAAGCAGACCAGCTCAAGCGGCAATGCTGGAGGGACCCCACCGTGAGTCAGGCCCCCTCCTGGCCCTCCCGCGAACCTCCTCCTGGGTGGCCGCCATGGTCATGGTCGGCACGGTGATTTCAACGTAGACATTCTCGGCCCCTGCCCTTGAGAAAGCCAGTGTCAGAGCTCCCAACAGCCAAACACACAAGAAAGCCTGAACAATTGAATTAGAATGCCCCGAACCGAACTGCCTGGGTTTGAACCCTGGCTTTGCCAATGGCTACCTGGGGTACACGATGTCACCTTTCCGGGCCTCAGTTTCCCCATCCATAAAACAAGTTGCCTAGTGGCACTCCCGCATAGGGTTACCCAAAGCTCAAATGAAGTAACGGCGGAAGGCTTAGAGCAATGCGTCGCACAGGAAAAAGGTCCATATAAATATGAGCAGTTAATTGTGCTATTCTCATATTTTAAGAGACAGTGTATCAGTGGAGAAGTCCTGGGAGCTGTAATAGGTTAAAAAGAGTCTCGTCTGGTTTGAGGAAGAGGAGGGAGACTGCCCCCAGGCAGCAGGATTGAGCAGTGGCCTGGAGGGGCCGGGGCTTACTCGGGCAGGCGAGGTCTGGGCCTCCGCAGCATAGTTCGTTGGGTCAGGGAGAGGGAGGGCACGCACCCCAGGAAGGACCTGAGCACCAGGCTGAGCTGAGCAGCTCTGCCTTTGTCCTGGTGGCAATGGGAGCCATGGAGGACTTTAGAACAGAGGAGCAACGAAGTCAGAAGTGAGGGGAAGGATTTTTCTGGAACTCCTGTGGAAGGGGAGAGATGAGAGGAAGAAGGCGCAGGAGGAGGCTGAGCAGGTCAAGGCCTGAGCTGGGGCCAGGAACGTAGGGGAAGAGATGGGTTTGCATAGTTACATAAGGAAGAGATATCTGAGGTGGGTCTTGTGGGAGGAGTAGGAGTTCTTCAGGCAAAGAAGGGGAGGAAGGAATTCAAGGCAGAGAGAACAGCACAATAGCACGTACAACGGCCCTGTGGCAGGACGGAGCTAGGCTCCCTCAGGCAAGGCATCAGCTAGGGCCAAGTAAGCCACAAACACCGTTCCCAGCTTAGATTTTGTCCTGTGGGTGACAGGCAGGCGTGGGAAGAGCTCCAGCAGCGTAGGGGCAGGGGCAGGCTTGGGTGTCAGGAGTACCACCGGGCGGGGCTGGTCTGGAAGACGGGCTGCCCAAATGGCCAGAAAGCTGACCTGATGATCCAGAAGGGAGAGGAAGGTCAGAGCAGACACTCGGGAGGTAGGAGGGATGGAGCTGGGGACCGAGTGGGCAGGAGTGAAGTCCTCCCTTGAGAGCAGGCCAGCAGTGCCAGCTGGGAGTGGGTGACGGCAGTGACACCACGTCCCTTCTCGGTCCCCGCAGATAACCTGCACCACAACTACCTGCACCTCAACGTCAACAGCCCCAAGCACCATGCCGCCACGATGGGTACGGACGGGGGCTGGGCTGCGGGAAGCACAAAGGCTCCTTCCCTTCCCTGCCACGTACCGAGCCTGAGCTGGGTGCCCAGGGTAGAGGAGGCGTGAGACCCTGGGAGCGCGGACCTCCCGCCCAGCCAGGTGGCCAAGCCAGCCTCCGTGTCCCCGGCTCCTCTCTCTCCCACCCGGGTCTGTGGGGAACTGTGTGGAGGGGACGGCCCCTCCAGCCCGCGGCCAGGCCCGCAGCAGGTGCTGAGCACGCGCCACTCACCTCTCTTCCTGCGACGTGACCTGCCTCCCCAGCACTGAGCCTGTCCCTGAGGTGGGGGAGCGGGTAGATGGACCCTGCGGGGGTCCCTGGTTTCCATTCCCTAAGGGGCTGGGGGCTGGAAGTGCTGGGTCTGAGGGAGGAGGGGCTCAACTGACCCCCGCGCGCCCCTCTGCCCCAGACTGGCGTGCCGCTCCCCCACCCAGCCCCTCCTTGCACTACTCCACGCTGTCCTGCTCTCGGTCTTTCCACAACCTCTCGCACCTGCCCCCGTCCTATGAGGCCGCTGTGAAATCCGAACTCAACCGATACTCCTCCCTCAAGAGACTGGGTGAGTCCCAGGAAGGGGAGGGCGAGGGTGATGGGGTGGGGTCAGGGCCAGGGCCTGGGTTCAGGAGTGTGGGCAGTGGCTCAACGGGCCTCTGAAGGTGCTTTTTGAAAATGCATATCCAGGCCGCCATAAGGCCTGTTGTATTCGTCAGGGCTTGTATTTACAATGAACAGAAATACAACTTAAGCCAGAAAAAGAAAAGTGGGGGTCAACTAACCACATTAGCTTGATCCTGGAAAGTCTATGAATCATGACCTTCAGTTATGGCTGGACCCAGGAGTCCAAAAGCTGTTTCCAGGATTCTATATCTCTTCTTTATTTTCAGACAGATTCTTCCTTAGTGGTACAAAGATTGACCTGAGAAATTTCAAGATGCCATTCTACCAGCAGAAAAGGGTCTTTCCCGATAATTCCAGCATTCCCAGATCTAGATCCCACTGGCCCAAATTGGGTCACATGCTCATCCCTGAACCAATCATTGTGATTCTGGACATTTCTGGCTCAGCGGCAAGAGCCTTCAAACATTTTATTATTTTTTAATTTTATGTATTTATTTTTTGGGGGGGAGGGGCAGAGAGAGGGAAAGAGAGAATCCCAAGCAGGCTCCACACTGTTGGTGCAGAACCCAATGCGGGGCTCGAACCCACGAACCATGAGATCACGATGCTGGTCGAGACTGAGTCAGACGCTTAACTGACTGAGCCACCCAGGCACCCCAAGCCTTCAATCATTTTGGACTGAGAGCCAGGGGTGCCTCAGTGCCTCAGTGGGTTGAGTGTCTGACTTCGGCTCAGGTCATGATCTCACGATTCATGAGTTCAAGTCCTGAGTCTGGCTTTTGGATCCTCTGTCTCCCTCTCTCTCTTCCCCTCCCCTAACCCCTCAAAAATAAATCGACATTTTTAAAAAAGACTTAGACTGAGAGCCACATTAAGAAATGCTTTTTATATTATGACCCTAAGACACATATGATATGTATATTTTTTAATTACAGGGAAGCTTTGAAACTTGTTATTATGAACATTTTCAAACATACCCAGCATTAGAGGAGATTGTAAAATGAAGCCCCATGTTCCCAGCACCCAAAGTAACAACGAGCAATGTTTTGTTAATCAAGACCCCTTCACCCCGGGTTTTAGCGGATTATTTGAAAACAAACTCCGGGTGTTGTCACTGCATCCATTAACATTTCAATAACACAAGCATGACTGAAATAAAAATTTTAGGAATTGGTACTCATGATTCCCCTAGTATACCAATGCTTTTTTAAAAAATAGCTTTTTAGGGGCGCCTGGGTGGCTCAGTCAGTTAAGCCTCTGACTTTAGCTCAGGTCGTGATCTCATGGTTTGTGGGTTCGAGCCCCGTGTCAGGCTCTGTGCTGACACCTCAGAGCCTGGAGCCTGTTTCAGATTCTGTGTCTCCCTCTCCCTCTGACCTTCCCCTGCTCATGCTATCTCTCTCTCTCTCAGAAATAAATAAGACATTTAAAAATTTTTTAAATAAAATAAAATAGCTTTTTAAAGTATGTATGTATTTATTTATTTATTATTTTTAAGCAATCTCTACACCCAGTGTGCAGCTCCCACGCAGAGCCCTGAGATGGAGAGTCGGATGTTATACTGACTGAGCCAGCCAGGCGTCCCTGTGTGGATGTCTTCTGAAATTTTTCTATTGTATTTCATTTTCAAATGCCGTTCATGGTCCACAAAACTGACTTCATAACCCATGAATAAGTCACATCTCCAAGTTTAGGGGGTGGGGAAATCTCCCCACGTCCACCATCTGTGTGGGGCCGAGGAATCTGCATTCTGGCCATATAGCTGGCCTGACGGTTTTGGCCGATTAAAATCTGGGACTACCTACCGGTGCCCAGGCTAATAACGCCCAGGGCATTCTGGTGATCCCTGGGGTCCTCGTGGGCGTGGGATGCACGAAGCCAGGGGGTGGGGAGGGCCTGGGCCGGCTGGGGACTTACCTGTGTGGCCTCTTCCCTTTTTCCCCCAGCCGAGAAGGATCTGGACGAGGCCTACCTGAAGCGCCGGCACCTGGCGGAGGTGCCCCGCGGGACCCTGCCCCTGCACGCCCTTCGGCGACCTGGCACGGGCGGCGGCTACCGCATGGATGCCTGGGGCGGCCCGGAGGAGCTGGGCCTGGCGCCCGCGCCCAACCCGCGGCGCGTCATGTCGCAGGAGCACCTGCTGGGCGACGCGGGCCGCGCGCGCTACGAGTTCACCCTGCCGCGCGCGCGCCTGGTCTCGCAGGAGCACCTGCTGCTGTCGTCGCCCGAGGCCCTGCGCCAGAGCCGGGAGCACCTGCTGTCGCCGCCGCGCAGCCCCGCGCTGCCCCCCGAGCCCGCCGCCCGCGCGGGCCTGGCCGCGTCCCATTCCAACTTGCTGCTGGGCCCCGGCGGGCCCCCCACGCCGCTGCACGGGCTGCCCCCGCCGGCCGGCCTGCACGCGCACCACCACCACGGGCTGCACGGCTCGCCGCAGCCGGCCTGGATGTCGGACGCCGGCGGGGGAGGGGGCACGCTGGCGCGCAGGCCACCCTTCCAGCGCCAGGGCACGCTGGAGCAGCTGCAGTTCATCCCCGGCCACCACCTGCCCCAGCACCTGCGCACCGCCAGCAAGAACGAGGTGACTGTCTGAGGCCAGGCCGGGGGCTTGGGGGCTGCGGCGTCGCGGGGGGGCCCCCGTCCCAGCCTGGATCCCTCAGCACACTCCAGGGGCCTGGGACTCAGGATCGGCCTGTGGCCAGGAGGCTGCCTCCGAGGACACTGCTTTGGATGAAAGCGTCCCCGGAGACAAAACCTTCTGGGACGTCGCGGTAGATAAGTTCCCCCCTCCTATGTCACCCTTCGAGGCACGGCCTCTCTCCCATGACGTTATCACAGAGGAAGAGCCCTGCCCTGAGGTCATCACTAGTGAAAATGTCTGTGTTCTGTGATGTCATCACAGGGACAACCCCCCCCCCCCCAACTAATCCATCACAGAGGGCCAGGCTCGCCCCTGAGGCCACACCAGCGGCCAGTCGACGGCCGTGAGGTCATCACAGCCTGTTTTCCTGTGGTGTCACAGTGGAGGCAATGCCTTGTCCTATGATATCACCCCAGAGACAGACTCCGTCCTGTGAATGTCATTGCAGAGACAGGTCACACCCTTGTGACGTCCTCTCTGGCACCAAAAGGCCTCTTTTGACATGATCATCACCAGGAAAATACTTGCCTCACAGGAGATGTCTCTGTCTATGACGCTGTCACTGCAGACAAAGCCATCTTCCTGGGACACATTGCAGGGGAAATGCCTGCCAACGGTGTCCTCACTACCCGTAGGGCCTGTCCCCGACACTGTCACCAGGACCATGCCTCTTCCCGTGGTGCCATTGCCTGGGATGACGGCCTGTTTCGGGGTCCCGCCAGGGTGCGGCCCCTTCTGTGGTGTCAGCAGGGCCTCGCCTGCGCGGAGGGGCGCTGTAAGACGCCTGCACGCCCGCCCCACCACGAGGAGGCAGGGCGCGCCCGGAGTCCATGACAAGCCCGGGCACTGGACAGGGTGCCCTGAGCTGGCACGTCTGAGGGATGTCGTCGCTGCGGGGACAATCCCATCCGGAGGTGACGGTCTGACTGTAGGCTGTTGGCAGGGGGTCCCCACTGAGGTCCTGTCCCAGTGTTGTGATGGCATTGCCACAGACACTGCCTGCTCTGGGGGCCATCACTTGTGATGGTGTCACCAGATTTTCTGCCTTGTCCACGACTTCACTTGGTCACTCCCTCCCTGACACCAAGGACACGCCCTGCAGGACCTCCACCAGACCCTCCCTCTAATGGGTGGCTGGGAATCAGACCCTGCCCTGTACAGTGATGTCACCTCCTGTGTGACTCCTCGAGGACAAGACTCCCACGGAGGCCACTCTGGCCCACCAGGCTCCCAGAGTCCCGGGACTCACAGTGGCCCCAACGTGGCACCACTTCTTTCTGCCATAACTAGAGACACCATTGCGTCTGTCAGCAAACTCCTGGATTTCTGTTGGGGGTGAGGTGGGGTGGGGTTGGTTGGGGTGCGCCTACTGCTGATTTTGCTGATGACACCATCAGCGCCATAGACTTCCACCTCTCTTGACGGCATTGTACCTGGGGTCAAATGCTAGCCGTGCCTGATGATGACCTCACTTCCCAGGCTTCCCTATGACCCGTGGGCTCTTCATCTCCCAGGATCTACCACAGCCATTGTATCATCATCTCCTAGGACCCATCATGACATATTATGTCATTACCTCCCAGAACCCTCGATGGCTGATGGTAACTTCCTCTACCAGGATCCACTAGCACTCATGATGCCACCATTTCCCATAGTCCCCGAAAATTGCGGTATCATCACTTCCTAGGGCCCATGAGAGCTAATGGAGTCCTCACCTCCCAGGATCCACTCCAACCATGGGGTCCTCACCTCCCAGGATCCACCACACCCATAGCGTCATCATCTCCTAGGGTCCATGACACCCAAGTATGTCGTCATTCACTAGGATCCACTTCAACCACGTATCATCTATCATCTCGAGGGCCGAGCACTACAGCAGCTGTGTTCATTCCAGTTGTTTTCCGGGGTCCCGCGGCACCTTTCATCGTTCCCTTAAGGGGAACCAGCACAATAACACACCATTTTCACATTCCTTCAAAAATGGAATAAGGTGGGGACCCCTCTGGTGACATCAACCTTACTCTGCCCCTTCTTAATGATGTCACTGCCTCCCCTCTGACTTGAGCAGATGCCTGCATCAACCCCACCACAGACCTGGTCTTGGCCAGACTCCATTACCCCCCTGGTGAGGGCACCCAGGCCCCTCCTGATAACTCACAGCCCTTCACCCAGCCATCTGATCGGTGACAGGGTCAACACAGACACCTTTTATCATCGGGGGTGGAGGGGCTCTCAGGTGACATCGCTGCCCCTGTTACCTGGACCTCCACCCAAAAGAGCACTCCATTGGCTTGGGCCGGACTCCTCAGAGAGCCATGGGCTGACTGGGCAGCTGCTGGGCCCCTGGGGCCTCCAGTTGTGTCTCCTGCTGGCCTGGGAGTGGAGCAGGCCCATCTGAAGGGCCAAAGCCACTGCCAGCGCCATGGTGCGGGTGGTGCTCTGGACCATCTCAAGATGGCGGAGAAGCAGCGTTCTCTCCCCCACACACACACCAGGGAGCCTCCAGGGGTTTGGGGATTCCTCAACACCCAGTGCACAATCTGCCCCAATTCCCTTTGTATATAGCCATGTTGCGGGGGGGCGGCCATCCCCCACTCTTAAAGGGCTACATACCCCCTCCCCAGCCCCCAAGGCAAGGCGAGGGGGCCTCCTCTCCTTCCTCTGGGCCGTCCCTCTCCCTCTTCCGTCTCCCCCCATATATTGGCACCTCAGCTCATAGCTTCCTGTCAGGAGCCCGGGGCAGAGGACTGGCCCTCAGCTCTCACCACACAGGGGAACTGGGGAGCCTCCCGATCTACCTGGGTCCCATGCCAGTTTTTCCACTCCATGCTTATGGCTGCTCCTCTGGGATCCTCCAATCCTTCCTAGCCTCCCCACGCCCAGCGCCACTCAGGCAGACTGTGACTTCCCAAGAAAGGGGGCAGCTTAAGCGCCTGCCCCCTGCAGATCCTCTGCTCGCCATCCCCACCGAGCACTCAGCTTTCTCCAGGGGTTTGGGGTCTTTCAGCTTTTGTACACGCCCACCCCCCCACACACACCTCAACTTGTTCTCTCCTGGCCTGGGTTCCAGGAATCTCGTTCCCCCTTCCCCCACTCACTCCGCCGCAGGCTGCCTGACCTTGGGGCCTTGACCTCTTATCTCAAATAAGCCATAGTGGGGAGAGGTCTCAAGGGGGTGAGAAAGCAGGCTTGTCCTGCCCGATCCCTCTCGATGCTTCCAGAGCCGGGACCTCGCCATCTGAGTCTTCCGCCCCCAATAAACGCGCATGCGCGCACACTCACACATTTCCCCCCACTTCTGGGGGGGAGTGGTAGGGGTGCAGAGAGAAGGCAAACAGTTCTGGACCAGAAGACTGTCCACAGCTTCTTTATCCCTGCCCCTCCTATGCTCTACGCCAGACCCCATCCCCCCAAGTTCCTTGGTGAGGACAGCGGTGGAGTGGCAACTTGGTATTTTTTGGAATAAACAGATGTTTCCTGAGCCCCAGTCTCAAGGTTTACTGTCTAGAAGAAATGGGTTTCCACCTCTGCGTTTGTGTCACTGGGGAGGTCCCTGCATGGCCGAGGTGGGGGTGGGCATCTAAGAGTCCACACAGGTGGTCAGGGCTGCCCCTGAGTCTGTCACCAAGCAAGGAGTCAGGCGTGGGAGGGGCTGGATGGCACCTTTAAAAGTCCTTGGTTTCTTCCAAAGAAAGCCTCTCCCCTCTGTGCACTGAAGCATGTGTTTGCACCTCCTTCTGCCTGACGTCTTTGGCTCTGTATGGCTGAAGCGGGGGGGGCTCTGGCGCCGCTGGACCAAGCCCCTTCCACGATGGAAACGTGCCACTTCCCGGCTCTGCAGGCTGGAGGTCTGCGAGCCAAGTGTGTCCTCGTCGGTTCCTTCTGAGGCTGAGCAGAACCGGTGCCGTGCGCTCCTCGAGCTTTTGGCGGCTCGCTGGCAACAGCTGGCACTCATCGACACACATCACCTTCCCTCTGTGCTTCTCTATCTCTGGGTACAAACTTCCTCATTTTCTAAGCACAACCTGTCATGTTCCACTAGCGCCCGTCCTCGGTGACTTCTAATTCCGATCATCTGCAAAGATACTATTCCCCAAAGTCCTGGAGACTTGGAAGGACTTCAGTGTGTCTTTTGGTGGTAGGGAGGGGGAGAGTCACAATTCAATCCCTAACAGGGGTGCTGCAAGGCACAGTTCATTCAAATACCAGTTTTTGTGCTAACAAGGAAGCATTTCTTTCCCCCAGTGCGTTAAGATACTTGCATAATGATGACAGGAGCTGACTGTAAGCCACACTGGGGAAAGGAGGTGTCCGCAAGGCTTTCAGAACTTTAGGACACCTGTCCCCTAGGGGCACCGAAGTGTTTGACTCCCATCTTGCATTGAAGGGCTCATTTGCACATCCTCTGAGAGTGGACCATGTGTGCGATGCATCTCAGTACTGATCTGATCTCGAAGATAACCCCTTCCTGGGGAGCCTGGCTGCCTCAGTCAGTGGAGTGTGTGACACTTGATTTTGGAGTTGTGAGTCTGAGCCCCATGTTGGGGGCAGAGATAACTTAAAAATAAAATCTTTTATTAAACAGGAAAAGAAAATCCCTTCCTCTCTGGTGCATTTAATTGTTTCCCAAATTTTAACATTTATTTATTTTTTGAGAGACAGAGTGTGAGTGGGGGAGGGCCAGACAGAGAGAGACACAGAATCCGAAGCAGGTTCCAGGCTCTGAGCTGTCAGCAAAGAGCCTGATGTGGGGCTCGAACTCACAAGCTGCAAGATCATGACCTGAGTCGAAGTGGGATGCTTAATTGACTGAGCCACCCAGGCGCTCCTGTTTCCCAAATTTTAGATTTTACAGTATTAGTCAGGGTTCTCCAGAAAAATGGAGCCACTAAGATTGTGTGTGTATAGGGGCGCTTGTGAGGCTCAGTCGGTTAAGCGTCCAACTTCGGCTCAGGTCATGATCTCACGGTTCGTGGGTTCGAGCCCCGCGTCGGGCTCTGTGCTGACAGCTCGGAGCCTGGAGCTGCTTCAGAGTCTGTCCCCTTCTCTCTCTGACCCTCTCCTGCTCAGGCACCCCAGAAATCACTTTTCATTGGCATCTTTATCTCCAGAAACTGGGAGGGGGCTGGGGAGGGATGATGACCATGCAGTGCACCTAAGTATGGGTTCCCTGAGCACACAGTGATTCTCCTCGGAGGGACATAGGAGGACGGTACCCCCCTGTCCCCTTGAGATCAGATGTACCCACGTGATGTGCTGGAAGTAGGAGCAAAGTGCCTCTCCAGGTAGAAGCTTCTGAGAGCCAGTGTGCGGACAGATCCCCACGCTCTTCCTTTCCCCACTGGCATTGCTTCAGGTGACGCCTGTGCTGCCAGCCTGCATCCCAGACAGACCAGCCAAGGCCCCAGAATAAGGGTGATGCCAGGGCGCCCGGGTGGCTCAGTTGGTTAAGCTGCCAACTTCAGCTCAGGTCATGACCTCGCAGTTCATGAGCTCGAGCCCCGCGTGGGGTTCTGTGCTGACAGCTCGGAGCCTGGAGCCTGCTTCCGATTCTGTGTCTCCCTCTCTCTCTGCCTCTCCCGTGCTCATGTTGTCTCTCTCAGAAATAAAGAAAAAACATTTTTAAAAAAATCTTTAAAGAAAAAAAAAGAATAAAGGTGATGCCAAACAGGGACTCAGCCAAGCCTCGATGAACATGCGGTGTGAGTGAGAAATAAAGCCTTTTCCTTCAGCAACAGGGGCTTTGGGGCTACATGTTACTGCAGCATGGTGTAGTCCGTTCTAGCTGATACAGGTTGTCTATGGAGTGGGAGGGGGGAGTGGGCACCCAGAGCCTTTTCAGCATACACTCTATTGTGCTTCTGAATTTTTGTGTCAGTGTGGAGCCCCACGCATGGATCGAACTCATGAACCATGAGATCATGACCTGAGCTGAGATGTAAGCTAAAGTCAAGAGTCGGATGATACTCAACCGACCGAGCCACCCGGGTGCCCCTAAAATCAAGTATAAACTTAAACGTAAATGGTGCTGGCTTTGACTGGCATTCCCCTCACTGCGCGTGTGCCCAGGAGGGACTGAGAGATGGGAGATCCCAGACTTCTTGGCCCTGCAGGGTGACTACCCTGAATTGCGATGCCAGGAATTAAGGGCATGTATTTTTCATTCAGCACGACTCTATGCCAGTCGACTTCTTCACTGGTGTTCCACCAAGAAAAGAACCTGATCCGCACACACTGTGCCTCGGGCCTCAGATGGGCAAGTCAAGGCTAAGGTGTGTCTGGAGCGTTTCTGCCTTCA